GATTATTAAAATTTGGTATATGTATACAATGGAATATTACTCAATTATAAGAAACGACAGTGATCTAGCACCTCTTATATTTTCGTGGATTGAACTTGAGCCCATTATCCAAAGTGAAGCATCAACAAGATCAAAGAATGGGCTCCACTTGTACTCGCCATCAAATTGGCACTAACTGATGAACACTTGCGTGCTCATATGGCAGTAATATTCTCCAGGGATTGGGGGGACGAGGGGGTAAACCCACAACTAAGGGACACGGTGAGCATTATAGATGGGAAGGGCATGCCTCTGACCCTTGCTTGGGTGAGGCAAAGACATAAAATGTAACCAAAATGTTTGTACCCTCATAATACCCTGAAATAAAAAAAAAAAGAAAAGGGCAATCGAGTAAAGATATAAAATGGCTAGAATAGTAAAACTGGCGTAAAAATTGTACCATAAAATCTTATATACTTGATAAGGTGAGCCATGTAGTTGAGTCTTAACTTTGTAGTTACCAATATGGAGGGAAATAAGATTCTGATTCACAATGTCTACAAGTTAGAAGCAAATCGATTGTTTAGGGAAGCATTTGGATGATAACCAGTAAAGTCTGTACTAAACAAGCACATCTGCAACTTTTCTACGTTGTTCTTATAGTCATCAAGATAACAAGTGTTATAAAATTGGTTCTTGAGAGGACTCTTAATGCAGATTGATACCATCATATGAAGTATACAATTTACGTAAACACAGGCAATTCTACAGTAAAGTAGGAATGGGAAGGTTAGAGACTGGGAATACAGTATATAGACTGTTTCTAATCAGAGGTTCTTAGTTGGACCGGTTTGGCCAAGGAGTCAAACTTGTTTGTGTTTTGCTTCTTTTATACAATTTGGTATGCTAGAAAGTTTATTTAGTAATCTTAAACTTGCATTTTGTTCATAATCTTTAAACATCTTGATACACTGAACATTTTATATTGAAGTGAAAGTTTTGTTAAATACTGGTTCTATTAAATATTGGTAAAATTTGTTCTGGGGGGAAATCAGCTAAAGAAGTATCCTCTCTATTTCATCACCATTTCCTTAACTACATGCTTTTCTTTAAGCACACAATAAGGAGAAAGATTCTATAGCAGTGAAAGCTTTTAATTATTTTTAATTTCTTAGAAACACATGTTCCAAGTCAAAGTTGAGGAAAAAATAATTCCCTGAGTATCCTTTTACTATTATTGTTTGGAATTAACATTTTTTGAGAAAATGAAATTTAAGAATTAGAAATTTATTATTTCTCAGTGATATAAAATTGAAAGATTAAAAAGAATTTCTCCTTTGAAGAGCATTTTATGTTTAATTATGAAAGATTGTGTTTTCTAAAAAGTTGAATAATTATTTACCCATGGATTATTGTCTTAGTGTATTTCACTTTATAGAATGGATATATTAATAAAAATTTCTAAGAATACTTTCCTTAATCTTTAAATTTCTTTGATTCCTATCATAAAATTTAGTTGTATTTCTACAGATACACATTTTACAGTTAAAATTTAAGAGTAACATTATCTAACAGCACAGCAACCTTTTCATATCCTGTTGGAAAGAAATATGTTTTAATAAGTTAATGACTAAGTTACAAATGACCAATAATTAAGCAATCATTGAAGTATGGTCAGAATTTTCATTCCTCAGATCTATTCCACAGGCACAATTACTGATGTGTTGGCTGTTACTAAGGATAACTACTATAATTACTTCAAATGCCAGTTTGAGGATTGCTTTTTATTCTTAAACACTCTCTCCCACTTGTTTTCTCCCAGCTCTGGGTTCCCTTCATTATCCTGTGGAAGTAGTGGTAGCAGTTCATCAAACACGGCTGTGAATTCTCCTGCCATGTCCTATAGACTCAGCATTGGTGAATCCATCACCAACCGACGAGATTCTACCATAACCTTCAGTAGCACCATGAGTTTGGCCAAACTTCTACAAGAGCGAGGCATCTCTGCCAAAGTGTACCACAGCCCAATTTCAGAGAACCCTGTCTTCCAGCCACTCCCTAAATCTCTAGCCATCCCTTCCACACCACCAAATTCACCGTCTCATTCACCTTGCCCTTCTCCTTTGCCCTTTGAGCCTCGAGTACATCTCTCTGAAAATTTTTTGGCCTCCCGACCAGCTGAAACATTCCTCCAGGAGATGTATGGCTTGAGGCCTTCCCGGAACCCTCTTGACGTTGGCCAGTTGAAGATGAATTTAGTGGACAGGCTGAAGAGACTGGGCATAGCCAGAGCAGTTAAGGCCCCTGATGCCAAGGAGAATGGAAGAAGCCAAGAGGCAGAAACTGGTCTTCAAAAACCAGATTCTGCTGTTTATTTGAATGCACATAGCAATTTATTGAGTGGACTCAGGAGGAATCAGAGTCTTCCAGTCATGATGGGTAGCTTTGGCACCCCAGTTTGCACATCCTCACCCAAAATGGGTCTCCTGAAGGAGGACTGAGGTCAGCAGTTAGCTGAGCTCCTGTACAGATCAGCACGTGAGGGTCCATATGCACTGATACATGTAGTCTGGTCTGACTTGAGAGAAAAGGAATGTTGCAGAAGGGTTGTGAATGTGGAAAGGGAGACGTGGAGGAATGGAAACAAAATTCGCATGAGGCTCTAATGGATGAAGTCTCATAAATCGGAAGTATAAATGAATGGGCCATGAGTGTTTGGAGGCAGAAAAGGAAGAAAGGTTTAATACACTCCTTCGGTTGAGTTTTCTTGTCTTGAAAATAAAAAGTGAATAGAAAATAAATTCAGTAATGCTGAAACATACCAGAGATACTGAACTTGCTGGCACATTTACTTCTGGTGAGCATGGACAAGGGGAACCCAGGTCAGAAAGATGGGAGGAGGAAAGGAGTGACTGTTGCTTATAGAAAGCTGTTCTGAAGGGTTGGTGGGGTAAGCTCAGTCTGTTATCTGAGGTAACAGTGACGCGGCTTATTTGTTTCCCCTGCTAGTGTTGGATTAAATTACGCATCCATCAAATAGGATGCTCACAGCATTAGCAAAATAAGGAATTTTATCTTTTTCATTAGATCAGAAGTGGAGACTCCCTTTTTCCTTTCTATGTTCAGGCCTTTGAGCCACTGGCAGGCCAAACACCACTCAAATTCCTTTGTGTTTATCATTAATAAAAGTTCATTTTTTTAAATTTGTATTTTTATACAACCTCCAACAAGAACCCAGTATAGGTAAGGGGTGGGAGGGATTTACTTTTACGAAGGAAAATATGGGTATATTGGAACCAAGGAAACTGGTTTTTAAAATATTTCTTCAAGATAAGTGCAGTAGTGAAGGAATACAAACATAATTGCATGTCTTTCAAATTTCCTTAGAGGTGGGACAGGGTTAAACCAAAAGTGCAATCATAGGAATTAGGGAATGTTGTATATTTATATATGTAAAATTTTTTGTGAGGAAAGTTGGTTGCAAGTAAACCAACTTTTTCCAAAGTGCGCTATGCATATTTTTAATGAAAAGTGACATGTATTTGCACAAAAATCCTCAGGCATATTAAATTATAAACTGAAGTAAAAGCCAGGTGCTTGCTTTGAGATTGTGTTTTCTTCCTAATATGAAATAAAATTAAAACACATCTGCCTTGTTCTTGATATCTGTAGAGTTAGAGAATGAACTTTTTAATGGGTGAGTCAAGACTTTTTTTCTCTGAGGTTTTCTCTTTCTTTTTCTTTCTTTTTTTTTTCACAAACTATGCGAAATGGCAAAGTGAGACTCTGGGATTAGGTTTCAGCGTTCACCAGTGTGACGCAAGGCTATGAATTGGAAAGAAACAGATCTGTCTTCCGAGTGTTGCTGATCGAGGTGTGCTTCTCATCAGATAACCTGTTTTTGTCTAAGCAGGGCGGGTCAGGAAGAAATGCCACTATACGAAAGACATGATGGAGGGAAGATGAGGGAGGGAGGGGCCTAATAATTCTGTTTATGAAAATGGGAAGCATATTACTGGATCGTTTTGGTGCTTTATTTGCAAATGTTTTGCTCCTTTGTCCTGACTTAAAAGCAATTTTCTGAAGAATTCTTGACTCTTGGTCACATGGTTCCCATTGGCACCCCTTTTCCCAGGCCAGGGAGGGTCTGTCCTCTCTGCTTTTGAGGTGCCTCCTCTACATGAAGAACAGTGTGCTCAAAAGGGTAGAAAAACCATGCATGCAATGGTAAGAATGTGTGTTTTCCATGCTTTTCAGGATCTTTTAATAAAACTTTTCTAAATAACTTTCTCAGAAACAAAGGGTGAAGATGTCCTCTCCCTTTCCCCTTCACTCAGTCACGCTGAGGTCAACAGAGTATGTGCGTGTGAACTTTCAGAAGGAATTCCAGCAGGTTCATAAGGGAATGCAAGGGTCCCTGAATGCAGTGGGCATTAAATAGAAGAATTCCTGATGTTTATATTTCCTAAATATTCCAGTTCACTTTTTTTAAAATGCATTTGAATATCTATTTCATAAAGTGACTCTGGTATGCTTACTTTAGCCAACTCTTAAGGCTTTTTATTTGTTCCCTAAAAAAATAATCTTCCTGTTGCCTGGATATTTGCAGTTTCCAAGAAACATCAGGAAGTAGGAAAATATAGGACCAGAGAGTAGTACAAAGTTAAATTATCAGATTTATGTGCATTATATAAATAGCTATAAATTAAACTAGATTTTTAGTGTTCTGTATTGAGTATAATTTGTATACTTTTTTATGATCAATGACTAAATGATCCCTTTGGAGACAGAGTCAGGACGTATTAGCAGCCAAATAAGCACATCTGATTTAAGAAAACCAGGCTTAGGTTTTTGAAAATTAGATTCATGTTGCTATTCCCCCAGAAACACAGTTGCATACTGGTGCATTCTTGTCTCTAGAAATGAATCCTGTCTTAATCCTGGGTTTTGCTGTTTTTCAAGTTTCCACCTAAAATCGTTTTTGGTATATCCTGAGACTCTATGACAACAGAATTGTCTGCAAAGTATAGTGAGAAGAACTGGAGCCTTACAGCAAGTTCCTCCCAATTAACCTGTTATATTTTGGTACTATTCGCCTTTTAGTTTTTTCTGTAGTATCAACTGTATATGTACTTTCATGCCAGTATAGGAAACCTCAATCTTTTTTTTTTTTCCTCCAAGGTTTTCAGTGATTATTCCTCAGGTATTTCTGAGTATCCTATTATCTAGTAGGAGAGATATCTTCTTGAGCTCAGAATTGAAAGTTCTCCTGAATTATGAAGATCCCAAATCTTATGTAAATAGCCTTAGATGTGGATCTTTAGGGAGAAGTTAATGACCACTGTTAAAGTACTTTTTAGGAAGTTTTATATGTTAATTGATTTGACATAAATGAACAGATGTTGACAAGGGAGGAAATAAGTTAGAAAAAGCAGCTCACAACAAGAGCCTATTCTCTGTGAAAGGTATATTTTACACAGTATTCAAAGCTTATTATTTTTCTGATCATTTCAGTACATAATTAGTACTTGGTTGTTGCTAACAGCAACTTTTGACATCTGGAACTAGGACTCTTAGTGTTTAGTGGGGCCACTTCTCCGATGTCAGATGCATGCAGACCTGTCCTCCATGTGCAACACACCGCAGCACAGTGTGGTAACTGAGTGGTCGCATTGCAGAGCACAGTCCCCTAGGAGTGGGCACAAGTGCCTGCTGGGACAGCCAGGGAAATGCTGTTGTTTGATATCTTAGATTTGATTTTGTCAAACAGCTCTTTGTGCACCTACCTTTGTTTTGTCAAATGTAAATCAGTTAATAAACAAGAGAAGCTTCTTAAATTTTCATTTGTCTCACTGTGTTTTTGTCCCGGCTCTTTGCACAGATAATCCTGCACTAAGTCTTTTCTTTCCATTATGTTGTTTTTGGTCAGAAAATAACCTTTATATGTCAAATCAACACACACAAAACAAACCACTGATAGTTATAAGTAGTAAATAGATCTTATTGTATTTTCTTATTTTTTTTTAAAGAATAGTGTTTATATATACCATAATATTTCCTTGACAAAACAAAAACAGCAACAAAAAATAAAGTTTAAAGTCGTTGATATGCAAATATTGAGAAGATTCAGAAAATGTGAAGCAATTCTTTTCCTGTAGTCCACAATTTTCTGTTGACACTTACCTATTTAGAAATTGTTTACAAGAAACTAAATTTGAACAATATTAGACTCTAATGGAAAAGGTCCTCTGATATTCTATTATCTCCTTCACAATTTAATTTCTGTATTTTTTAAAAGCTCATTCACAAAATGTTCATAATTCTAAATGGATATTAATAAATGATGCATGAGACTCTACTTGATATGAAATTTAGTGCTAGTCTCAGCATCTTTAATTGGGTTTTCTTTCACAAATGAATGTCAGTAGATGTTTGTTTAAGTCCGAGGACATTGCTGAATCTGCGCCAGCTCTCCAGACTGTGCATTTCACAAAGTTAACAAACCTCTTTGATATAAGCCACTTACAGCCAAGTAACAGCTCTACGCATTTTAACTAACACAGGGCCTGCTCTATGAGCAACATTGTCATAAAAAATACCAGGGTCCTCAGGGCTCTGTTCTAGCCACTCTTCTCTTCATACATTATACTTCTCCCTGTGATCTCACCCACTCCTTGGCCTTAAAATAGCATCTACTCTGGAGTCTCCTACATCTGTTTCTAGCCCAGACTCTTTCCTTTGAACTTCTGAAACCTGTACCAAACTCTGATGGACATCACCACTTGGCTGTCTCCCCGGCACCTCCAAAACTGAACTCATGATCTGCACCCCCTGAACCTGTTTATCCCCCAGATTTTCCCATCTCAATAAATGGCACCACCGTGACGCAATAGCTCAAGCTACAAACCCAGGAATCGTCATTGCCTCTTCCTTTTCTCTCACCTTGATGTCCAATCAGTCTCCAAGTCCCGTGGTGTCTTCTCTCCATCCCACCGCTGCTCCCTCGGGGGAGGGGCCATCATTAGGTCTCATCTGGACCACTTACTGCGGTTTCCTGCCTCCCCTCCAATTGTTTCTCCACATTGCAGTCAGAATGATCGTTCCGATGTGCACATCTAGTCAGATCCCTTCTCTGATTAAAACTGTTGCCTGACTCCACTGTACTAGAAGAATAATCCCTGCTCTAAACTCCTCCTGCATCTGGTGAGTCTCTTTAATATAAGATTCACTGTACTTTTGTTGAGCTTTTTTTCCGTCCTTTTTTTGAGACAGGGTCTCACTCTGTCGCCCACGCTGGAGTGTAGTGACATGATCACAGCTCACTGCAACCTCCAACCCCTGGGCTTAAGCGATGCTCCTGCCTCACCCTCCCAAGTAGCTGGGACTGCAGGTGTGCACCACCATGCCCAGTTAATTTTTCTTGTATTTTGTAGAGACAGAGTCCTGCTATGTTTGTTGCCCAGGCTAGTCTCAAACTCCTGGCCTCAAGTGATCCTCCCACCTCGGCCTCCCAAAGTGCTGGGATTACAGGATTGACCCACTGCAGTTGGCCTGTTAAATTTATTTATTGTTTTCCCATTAGTCTCTAAGATCTGTTGAGCACAGGAACTAAGGTATATCCCCACACCTAACAGCAGTGCCTGGAACACAATAGACAATAAATGTGGAGTTGAATGAACAGATGAATTTATAACAATGTTTTATAAACTGTGGGTTGTGACCCATCGGTGGATCATGAAATCACTCTTGTGGATTATAATCAGATTTCATTTTAAAAAGAAAAAGAAATAGAAGAGATAGCAAGCAATAAGGGTATTATTTCACAAAATTGTTATTATAAAATATGTGAAACATTTATTGTAATGAGTTGCAGTAAAATCAAAATGAAAGCCATTGGGCTATAATAAGCAAACACTTTTTTCTATAGTGAGAAAAAGCAGATTTATTTAGATTTAAAAAAAAACAAAAACAAAAACCTGAAACCCTAAGTACCTGAAAAAGACACCTGCCCTGGGAGATTTGTACTTTTACAGATTTCAAAGCTTTAAATTCAAGGAATAATGTGCCTACTTTAGAGTTTTAGGTTTCTGTGAGCAAATAACAGAGGAATTTAAAATCCTTCTCAGATCCTGCCTGGCAACTATTGCCATAGGCCAATTAAGCCTAGGAATGCTGTTTAATTCTGTCTCCTCTGAAAATATATCTTAAGCTTATTTTTTCTCATGGTTCATGATGAAAGTGGAAACCCAGAGATAGGAGTGTGGATTCCTTGCTGTTGAGTGCGGTCACTGATTTGGGTCTTGGAGAGTTTAACTGGCTGTTTCTCCAACCTTCTCTCTTTAAGAATAGAGCTCTGAGCCAATGAGGTGCTGCCGTTCTGTTTCCATAGCAATAAAAGAAACAAACCTTGGCCTGCCATCTCCTAAGGACAAACCTCACAACTCAGGCCCATGTCAAGGGACGCTGAGTGGAGGGGTGACTTTTTCCTCTACTTTGACTTTCATTGCAATACCAAGAAATTGGAACTGGATTGTCTTTAGGAGGGAAGTTCATGTCCATGCCAGTTCAGCCCACTGGGAATCTATCTTTCTGCACGACATACACTATGGATGTTCTGCTTTGGCATTTCAACCACTTGGAATGACCACCAAAGTCTTGAGTTCTGGATCCTCTGGATTCAATTTGAAATGACCTCTGATTTTGTGTTGATGGGCAACTGTTTCTCTACAAGATCGTGGTTTCTTTAAGACTCTTGTCTTGGGAAAGAACCACACGAGAAAAACAAATCTTTGGGCAGTCTGAGGTAAGCTCTTTGGAAAAGATGTTTTATATGATTTTTTCTGCTGATTATTAAAACTAATCTGTGACCTCTCTGAAGGCTCTGCTGGCTTTCTGGTGACTACAGTTAGGGTGGTCCTCAGGTAAAATCTTCAGGGAGAAGTACAGGAAAGGAAAAGAAGAGGGAGAAAGAATCCTTACACACACACACACACACACACACACACACACACACACACTCCTATATTCTTAGAGCTATGCAATATAACATCGAGCTACTGCAAATGCAGATCTATCTATGGAAATATTAGTATCTCCTGGATATCCTATTACATAAAAAGAGCAAGCTGCAGCATAGTGTGTGAAGTATGTTCTCATTTATGTAAAAATTTAAAGGTTGTATATATTCACAACATTTCTGGAAGGATACCCAAAAAACTGTTAACAGTGGCTCCCTCTTGGTAGGGGACTAGAAGTCAAGGGCTGATGTTTAGCTGGTATGCAGTTACTGAGATATTGAAATACTGCTCTACTAGGAGGGAAGAGGGGACGGGTATTTGTATACACAAGGAGTGCAATGCGCACTACCCGAAGGATGGACATATTTGAAACACGGACTTCGTGGGGGGGGGGACCAAGGGCAACACACGTAACCTAAACATCTGTACACCCATAATTTGCTGAAATAAAAAATAAATAAATAAATAAATAAAATAAATAAAACACACATAAGAAAAAAAAAAAGAAATACTGCTCTACTGGTTAGTAAATGACCATTGTCCAAGTGCCTTGAATGTCCTTCTTGCCACCTTGGTTGCCCCAACTCCTCCCCTGGATCCCCCAGATCTCTTCAAGATTCAGCAACCAAGGGGTTAATTCCTGGCATGGGCGTGGGAGTGGGTCCTGCAGGACCCTGTTCCAACCCTGGTTGATTGTTTTCAATAGCCTTGTCTTATTGGTTGTTAAATATTTGAGTATCACTCACATGAGTGTTCAGAGGGAGAGGCCTTTACTTTTCAAGAGCAAAAGAATATATACACCAACGCATTGTTTATAATGGGGGAGAAAAAAGGAAACAACCATTCATCTAAAATCTCTACAGAGCGATTGCATCACCCTTGCAATTTACCTATGCATTCTGGTTTTCGAACTCTAGTATTTAGTATAATCTATAACATGGTAATGATGATGACAACATTTTGGCAGTTTCATCTGTACATTTCTTCTCCTTGTTGAGCTGGTCCCTGTGGTTACGACCACCCAGTTTACTAGTCGGGTAACAAGTATTCATCAAACACCCATTGTGGACAAGTCGCTTTGGTAGGCTCGGTGGGGGCATGGATAGCGCCATGGTGGAGGCCTGGCTTTCAAGAACCACATAGTCCACTGGGCAGGCAAGACATGGAAGAGAGAAGACAGTTGCCAGGAGCAGGCCTGCCTTGGCCTCCCAATTCCTGCTCCAGGGACTCCTGCTAAATCTCCCAAGTTCAGGGTGGGCCCCTTTCCTCACAGGAAGCAGATACAAGGTCCTAAGCAGAACCAAAGCTGCTTTCTTGCTGCTGGCACAGCCTCCTTTCAGATTCTCACCTGCGTTCTAGCCCTTGTGGCACCATCTTCCCACCTGGACCGCTCAACACCATCTGCTCCCCTGACCTTGTCTCCTTGGCTCGCCCTGACACAGGCGCTGTCCTGACAGGGCCCCCAAGCACAGCGGAGCATGGACAGTTATCCACGGCAGCCCTGCCTTTGTTCTTTATCTAGTCTTTTGGCCTCCTGTCCAGCCCTGTCCTCTACTCTACCAGGCCCCCTGGCCCCAGACCTCTGGCCCAGCTGACCCCTGCGCCCACCTCCACCTGCACACCCTGCCTTTCTTCCAAGGCCAGGCCTCCTGCCCTTGCTCCACAGCCCACTCAGTCTCTCTGCTGACTCCCCTACTGACTGCAGGTTCCCTGAGGACAAGGTCCAAGTCTTCAGCATCCAGCTGGCATCCAGCCCAGGACACACAGCATGAGCCTGTACAGATCTGCGCTGTGAAACAGCATTTACAAGTGGGTGAGCAGTCGCTCCGTTTCTTTGAGTCTCAGTAGCATCATCCGTAAAGTAGATTCAATCTTAAGGTCCCCTCTAGCTCTCAAGGTCATTAGACCCATAACTGGGCTTCTCGAGCATCAGTCATGTTATAGAAAAAGATCAATTTCATTTTTCAGCTGATTCTTAAGCAAATTTATTCCAGTATAATATTGAAAACCAGTCGTTGACTTAGAAATTTCAGTTAAATTTGCTGTCATTGTAATGTTTCTGTTGATCTATAGGTTCTCATATCACTTTTGGCATTTGTTTTTAATTTTTATGAAACATCCACTGGCATCATTTTCAAAATCAAATAGTGTTAAAAATTTATTAAGGAAAAGTCATAATTTTTGCCCCACCCTCCTTACCATGTCTGCTCCTTCCTCAGTGTGCTCCCTAGAGGCAATTATTTTCAACTCTGTTAGCGATTTCTTTGGGAATTTAACCTCATACTTCTAAATAATTTGCCTCTACTCCATTCGTTAACTTTTCAATCTGAGACCTTCTCTACTGACTTCCTGGTGTCGTAGATGCAGATTTCGCTCGAGTGTATCCTCCCTCCATCCTCCTCCCCATGCTCTTCCGGTATCGTCACAATCCACATTTTGGTTAAATCAATTTGAAGTGGCTACACTGATACATGAGTGTGTACCATACTGTGATTACGTTTACTTTCTCATACAGTATTTTTAACCTGAAGTATTAATAATTGCACATTTTATTTTCTTAGGTTTCTATGTTCTATTGCCAATTCCCCTCCCACCACCACCACCAAAAGTCTAATTCCTTACTTGTAAGAAATTACCACAAATTCAGTGGCTCAAAACAGCACCAATTTGTTATCTTACAGTTCTGAAGGTCAAAGTCTGGGATGGGTCTCACTGAGCTAAATCAAGGTGTTGGCAGGGCCTTGTTCCTTCTGGAGGCTCCTGGGGAGAATCCATTTCCTTGCCTTCTCCAGCTTCTAGAGGCTGCCTGCATTCCTTGGCTCGATCATGCCTACCGCTTCTTCCGTCATCGCATCTTCTCTGACTCTGACTCTGATAATCCAGGATAATGTCCTCATTTTAAGATCTTTAATAATCACAACCACAAAATCCCTTTTGCCACGTTAGGTAATGTATTCAGTTTCCAGGGATTTGGACATGGACACGTTTGGGGGCGTGGGGAGGGAAGGGACACTAGTCACCCTACCACTTGCTCCAGCAGATCTGTCAACCGCCTATCAGTATCACTAGACAATCTACCAGTTCCAAGTCCTGAGTCTTTGGGGACCTTTGATGTGCAAATTGGTGCCTTCTTGTTCAAACTCCCTTTGCAGGCACGTAGGCCACAGTGCACTGTGGTGAGGGCCCCGCTTACAACATCAAATGTGTTGACATCTCTTGTGCAATATTGTCTCCTCTCCCATCTTCTTGTTCTTATGGAATTAAACCTCTTTTAGGCCAGGCGCGGTGGCTCACGCCTGTAATCCTAGCTCTCTGGGAGGCCGAGGCGGGCGGATTGTTTGAGCTCAGGAGTTCGAAACCAGCCTGAGCAAGAGCGAGACCCCGTCTCTACTAAAAATAGAAAGAAATTAATTGGACAACTAAAAATACATAGAAAAAAGTTAGCCAGGCATGGTGGCGCATGCCTGTAGTCCCAGCTACTCGGGAGGCTGAGGCAGAAGGATCGCCTGAGCCCAGGAGTTTGAGGTTGCTGTGAGCTATGATGACGCCACGGCACTCTAGCCCGGGGAACACAGTGAGACTCTGTCTCAAAAAAAAAAAACCTCTTTTAACCCTGTGCTCTCATTTTAGTGGGGTCTGGAAAAGAAAGAAGATAAACAAGTGTGGTCAAGCCTCCATGTTTGTCTGACAGTTGTCTTTCATACAGACCCTCACAATAGGGATTTTATTTCTGTAGCGCCCTAGAAGACTTTCCACTCTGTAATTCAGACAGGTGACCAGGCATGAGAAACTGGGAGATTCATTTACACTGCAGTTTGAGTAACTGAGCTCATTTTCCAGGAAGTTCTGTGCGGGGCCTGCTGTGAGGATTCCCCTTCCCTTCAGCGAGAGCTGGTGTGGTCTGCTGGAAAAGCCAGGGCTTGGGGTCAGGGAGACGTGTCTGTTCCCAATTCTGCAACTTGCTACCCCTGTGACTTCTCTGAGTCTTAGTATCCTCATCCATAAAATTGGGATAGTAATAAGTGAGCACTTGTTGTGTACCTGGCTCACAGTAAGCACTCAAGTACAGCAAATTTTAAATTGCTTCCAAGGCAAGTCTACTGGGTAGCAAGAGATGAGTTGTTATTCTATGGTCAAGACCCTGAACCAGATCAACAGCTTCTGGAATCTACCATTGATTGTTCTTTGGGTCTTCCCTGGGTTCTTCCCTGTTTGTCTTGAAGTATTTTTGCTTTGATTCTAAATGGTTTAACTCTCTGCTATTGTTTTCCTATTTCAGCAAGAGCCCCCTGACTTAGCAGCCAAAACTTGCCCTTGACCTTGGGCCATGAACCCCAACCCTCTCATCTATTGCACCTGCTTGGACCCCTGGAACTTGGGACCACGGAAGCTAATCAAGACCCCTCGGCCACCAAATAAGGCCCCCACAGGGAGGTCCAAGTAAGAATTATCTGGGATGGGGTAGGTGCAGGGGGCATGGTTTCCATTTGAAACTTTTCTTCTTTCGCAAAATTTCCAAAACAGTAAACTTGGCAGGAAAATCCCAAGTGGGCCAGGAGGCCTAGCTTTACCCCTCTTTGCCTGCCAGCCTGTTAGCTGCACACTTATCTTGCCAGTACTGCCTGGGCTTAGTGGCATGTTAAATGTGAGAGACTCAGCGTTGGTGCAATAGGAAAAGTGTAGCTTCCAACCAAAGGGCCTTGATGGCAGCTGCCCCCTCCATGTGGGACAGAGAGCTTTGGGAACTGGAGGACAAGCTGTGCTGCCAGTCTGGGGACTCCCTGGGACAGTGAACAAACGCCAAGTCCTTGGGCCTGAGGTTTTGTTTTTTTTTAGACAGTCTCACTCTCTTGCCTGGGCTAGAGTGCCGTGGCATCGTCCTTGCTCACAGCAACCTCAAACTCCTGGGCTCAAGCAATCCTCCTGCCTCGGCCTCCCGGGTAGCTGGGACTACAGGCACACACAACTGTGCCCGGCTAATTTTTTCTATTTTTAGTTGTTTGGCTAATTTCTTTCTATTTTCAGTAGAGACGGGGTCTCGCTCTTGCTCAGGCTGGTCTCGAACTCCTGAGCTCAAGCAATTCTCCCACCTTGGCCTCCCAGAGTGCTAGGATTACAGGCGTGAGCCACCACGCCCAGCTGGCCTGAGGTTTTAAAGGCCTCAGATTTTAAAGATTCCAGTTGTCAGACCATATATTTTAATTTTGAGTTGCTTTGGGGTTGTACTTAATCTAGGAGTGTTAAACAGGTTTCTGAATTCCAATTTTCTAATTTTATTAAATAGCTATTTATTTTTCACTTTCAGGCTAGCTCCCCTTCTACCAGCTTCAAAACAATACAATCACCTCCAACCAACAAAACCTGTTGTTGCCCCGAAGTAAGTATTTTATGTTCCTGAGGCAGGAATGGTTTGAGGCATGTGAATAACATAATCTCCCCCTCCCCCGGGCCCCCCACCATTAACTTAACTTGAGCTAATTGCTGGCAGGGACATTAGAGAATTGCCAGAATCTACTATGATTTCCCTCAAACTTCAGACTCTACACGTAGATTCCGGGGTCCTCTGCACCTACAGCTTCCAAAGTCACTGCAAGTGAACTCTCAGCTGGATGCCCCCAATAACTGCTTCCTGCCCTACAAGAGCCCAGTGCCTGACGCCGTCATTAGCGCAGAGCCCTGGCGAGCCTCTCGTGTGGTTATGGTGGTGGCTCAGCCTTTAGCAGATTACTTTCCTGTGTCTAAGATTTTTGGCAGATTGCATCTTGGTTTTAATCACAAATTAAAATGTTTACCTACATTTTACAAGCTTAGAAATGTACCTCAGTTTTAGGTTTTTGCATTTTTTTGTTTGGAGTGTATTTATTGAGCACCTATTATTCCTTAAGCACTGTTCCAGGTGCAGAGGAAACAGCCAGAAACACAATAAAGTCTTCGCTGTCCTGGAGCTGACATTGGCAGGGTGGGGGCAGGAGATGACATGAACAAGTTTCACACCTGAGGTTGGGGAGTAACGCGTAGACAAACAGTGCAGGCACAGAGGGTAGGGGCTGAGAGGGTGGGGCTGTGATTTTATGTAGGGGGCCAGGGCAAGTCCCTGTGTAAAGGGGACAGTGGGGAGTCATGAAGATGCCCGGGGCAGGCACTCCTGGCAGATGGGGCAGCAAGTACAAAAGCCCCTGAGTGGGGACTTCCTGAGTGTGTCTGGCCTGCCCCGGAAGGCAGAGGCCAGGGTGGCAAGAGGGGAGGGAGAAAAGAAGGAGGGAGCAGATGGGCTCAGAAAGGGTAACAAGGTGACAGATATGGGGCGGCACAATGCCCCCCCCAGAGATGTCCTCACCCTAATCCCTGGAAACTGCGAATAGGGTATGTCTCTTGCCAAAGAGGAATTAGGGTTGCAGATGGAATTAAGGTTGCTATTCAGCCGACCTTGAGTTAAAGAGATTATCCTGGATTATCCTGGGCCCGATGTAATCACAAAGGTCCTTCCTTGTATGTGAAAGGGGAAGTCAGAGTGTTAGAGTCAGAGAAGGAGATGTGACAACAGAAGCAGAGGTCTGAGTGACAGGACTTCCTGGCTTTGACAGTGGAGGAAAAGGCCACTATGAACACAAACATATGTATGGTATTCACTTTATATGTAGCACATAGAAAGCCTGGAATGAAAAACAAGTTAAACAAATGGCTCTTAAGGAATACATTTCATTATCTGGAACATTTGTTGATGAAGAATGTTTCATTCCCCAGTGAAGAGAACTACACACATCTCTCTGAATTGAGCGTGCATGTGTGTGTGCACACCTGTGTGTACGGGGGTGTCACCTGACTCACAGAGCCTTGCTGCAGGGAGTGTGTAAGGGTCCCTCTGGCTGGTTTATACTCCTCCAAAACAGAAATTGCCCCAACATCACAAGACAACTCTTTTGCCTCCTTGGGCCCTCAGGGGCCCTGCCTCAGGGAGTTCCCAGCTACCCGGGGATCCCCTAAGAAGGTCAGGTGACCAGAGCTCAGAGAGCAGAAGTCAGATGATGGCAGCATCGGGGCGAATCTCTTAAGCTTTGAACTTCTCTTTGCTCTCTGGTTGCTTTCTGAGCATGTCTTTCTCTTGCAGAGCGAAATTCCATTTAGGAAGGCAAGAGGAGAGCAATAAATCATCTTATGTGAGTAAAAACGGAAAGAGGGCAGTGGCACTAAGATTTACCGAGCACCCGCACGTGCAAACATGGGCTTTTTGCACATACTTCCTTGTTGACTCTTTACAATGACCCTAGGAGGAGGTGCTGTTGTTATTGCGCCTTCTGCTCATTGTACGCGGCTGGTAAGTGAAGAACCATGATTCGAACTCGGCGCAGTCAGACTCCAGAGTGGCCACCCTCTACAGCCTTGGGCAGGATGGAGACAGTATCCCAGGGAAGCCAGTGGCAGCTAGTCCAGGCCAGGGTACAGCTTGGGCCCAGATGCAGGAAACCCTCTGCTACACCTGGAAAGCCACCAATGCTGAGGGAGGGGCCGTCAGGGCCCCTGAGGGGAGCAGGGGCAGGAGAAAGACATGGGGACCAGACCCAGAAGGATCTTGACACCTACCTGATCTTCCTCCTGCCTGGGAGCCTTTACTGGCCTGACATAGGCGTAGGACAAGGTAAGGTTCACATTTCATTATAGGAAAAGTGCCTTCTGCTGGGACTTTATTGGTACTTTTTACTATTTTCTATCTAGTTTCTTCTTAAAGAAGAATCATGCAGTCCTTTAATGGTCAGGTAAAAAAATAAACAAAAATATAATTGCCCCCCAGGTGGAGAGGAGGATGAGCTCTGGGGGAACCAGGCTGGAGGCAGAGAGGCCAGTCGGGAGGTGGCCTCTGATGGGGGGACCTGGGCCATGCCAGGCAGGGGTGAGCAGAGGCAGGGGAAAGTCGTCAGGAGACGATAGTGGCGGCCTCGAGTGCTGCCGGTGGCAGGGAGCTGTGCCGCTCTCCGAGTTACAGCCTCATCCTGGTCGGGCCGGCAGTGGCCCTGCCCGGGCTTCCCACGTGGCGTCTAGTGGGGAAAGAAGAAAATTGCTATATATTTGGGGTTTTTTGCAACTGTGCTAGTCATTTCTCATATGCTACTTTGTTTTTTCCTCACAAAAGCCCTTTGAGGAAGAGTTATTATCCCCATTTTCTGATGAGGAAACTGAGGCACAGAGGTGTTGAATAGTGACTGGCTGGTGGCAGAGCCACAATTTAAACTAAGGCCTGTCTGATTCCAAAACCTGAGCGGTTTCCAGGCCCCTGGGGGCGCAGGGGTGGGGCAGTGCAAGGCAGGGGGTGGTTGGAGCTTTCCAGGCCCTTAGGGACACCCTGGGGCCAGCCCAGCGCTGGGACTGAATCTCAGAGAAGAGAGGGTGAGAGGTAATGGAGGGAGGGCACAGGCGGGACTTGGGCCCTGGAGCCTCATCTCAGGTCTCTGATTTTAAGAGGGATGTGAGTGAGGCAACAGGAGATTTGGAGGAATCTTAGCACCCTAAGTCTGCAATCGTATCCTCCCTTCTCCGGATGCCCAGGAAGTGATCGACGTGTCACCCGGCTATCAACTCTTTCGGAATCGGGAGCAGATTTCCGTCACCTTGGGGGACGAGATGTTCGATGGGAAAAAGCAGCTGGAATCAGAGATCATGGACAAAGTCAAAATTTCCAGGTAATGTCTCTGGACCAACATCCGGCTCCTTGGAGCTGTGCGCACCCTGCTTGGCCCTGCCTCAAGGACAAGCCGCCGACGTCAACGCGGGCCACGGGGCCCTGCCCTCCTCGGCCGGGCGTCTCCACGGCCCCTCCGCGCCCACCTCGTTTGGCTCCCTTCCCACCCGGGAATGGATCCCAGGGGCAGCAGGAAGGTCAAGGCAGGCAGCTGACCTGGAAAACGACGAAGTCGTGAGTTATCTTAGAGGACAGCAATTGTTCCTGGGGGTGAGGAGCAGATAAAATATTCAAAAACTAGTCTGAGTTTGGGGCGTTTGAATTAAAAGCGAAGTGAGGGCTTCTGGGAGGCTGGCGCACGCATCTCCCTCTTCGTTATGTCCGAAGATACCACTCAGTTCCTGCCCCTGGTAGATTCGGTGCGGAAGGTTCCAGGCGGGCCCCGCCTCACCGAGCACGCACAGCTGTCGTCTGTCGTTCACGCCCCGCCGTGTCCTCCTGCGCCGTGGCAAGTGTGTCTCCACGCCTTTCATTGCACCTCTCGATCTCTCGTTGGTATCTTCTCCCCCACCGTCCTGCCCGAGCTCAGCATCTTCTTACCTGCGCTACCGAATGGCTCTCCAAGTGTCTCTTCCTAAAGGCTTATTTTGCTGTGAAAATTATTTTTCCAGGGCACAAGTCTAAAAACCAGCAACAACAGAAAACACACACACACACACACACACCCCACTCTCACACAACCTGCTACTGTATAGAAGGGATACAACCAGACTGCCGGCCCTGCTCCCTCTGGCAGGGGATTCAGATCGCGGCTGAGGCCGAAAGGCCGTGCAGCGGAGTTGCCCTGACCTGACCCGGCCCAGAGAAGTCAGCCCCCCGGCCCTGTCTTCCCATCCACTTTCCCTGCTTCTCCATGGGCCCCTGCAGGAGGAGAATGGGCCGTGCACCCATAGTCCAACTGGCACCCTCAGTTACCTCTTGGCCTCATCAGAGAGTTGTCACCCATGTGACATAATAAAACACAGTAGCCCATGCTTCCTGTATTTCCTGATAAAGCTGTGAGTATTAGTTACACGGAAGAACGTGTTCGAAAGACAGGGGTTCCCCATTATTCGACTGTCTCGTGCCCTTTCTTCTTTCACACACGCCGCATCCTCTACCCCACGTGCTTGTTTTCCCACCCCACATTCTCCCTGTGCTCATTAGACATGAAGGATAATCGGCCAAATGGGTCAACGCCTCTGGAATGGAGGACCTCCTCTCGGCTCCATGGCACACAGCACCACCTGCCACCCTGTCTACTCGGGCTCAACCGGACGGAGCTGAATAATTTACAGATGACGTGGAGGCCTCCTTAGACCCAGAAACACAGAAGGAAGAATATCACCTGTTCTGAAAACCACTTTCTTAAATCCCCTCTTAGTCCCATGTCTGGCCCATTCCTCATCTACGATTCACTGTCAGCATCAATCCTATCCCCCACCTTCTAATTTCCGAATCCTTGGAACTCCCCTCTCTGTTTTAACTATCATTACAAAATCAAGGTCAAGCCCTGATACATTTCTGACATATTCCTGCTTCCCTTCTACTCAACAGGGCACCAAACCACCCTGCTGACATCTGGTTTGCTTACCTAAAAGAGCCAGATCTGAGGCCCAACCACCCTACTGCCAAATGCCTTCTCCAAGGTCACCCCCTTCCCTCCGTCCCATCCCCAAATCACGGAGCAGATGCAGAATGTGGCCGGCTCACACCAGGCCAGAGCCAGCCATGCTCAGGGGCCTGACTGTCATGGAAAGGTAAGCTCTGTGGATGATAGAAGAATTATTTGTCCTACAGGACTGATATTGTTTCTGACCTAGAAGAGCAGATCTCAGAGCTGACAGCAATAATAGAACAAATGAACAGAGACCACCAGTCTGCCCAGAAATTGGTGAGTGATCCTTGTGTTAGCTGTCATCTTCATGGGTAGGATACAACTAATGTTTTCAGATTACCTATGTGCCTGGCAAGATGCCAAGCACTTTACTCATGTGAGGCGTGTTGTCCAGGTGACAGGACTCTGAGGATAGGACCACCCAGTAGTATTTCTCTGACTCATCATTATGCATAAATGCAAGAACTCAAGTCCCTTCTCAAGGCTTAACTCTTTCATTTCCAGGAGTTCTCCAGGTGCCTCTCCTCACTAGGGGCGCTGGTCATTTCCCATCTGGCCCTTGCGGTACATTAAGCTTCAGAGGTTGCGGGGCTTTCAGTAGGGGCACAGTGCTGCCCAGAAGCTTCCTGGAAGCCTCCAGGGCTTACTCTCTGTGACTGTTGAAGCTGCCAATACCACATGTCAGAACCCGCTGTCATTTCACACTCTTAGTGATTCCTGGGGATTTTGGTGACACCTCTTTAGATTTTGCCATCTGTTTGATCACAGCGACTTTCTCCCCACCTCAGGCACCTGTGCCTGGTGGCCTGGGCTGGGGTGATAGACAGTGCTATGCTCAGGAACACCCTCCCTAGTGTGACTAAAACCCTTTTGTGAGGTTCTACATCCCAGCAGATAGCCTCTCCCCCTCTGATACGTCCCAGACCACTCTGAATCCTACGGTGAACCAGGTTATGACTCAGGCTGAGACCACCCCTGCTACTGACTCATTGTTTGTAGGAAAATGCTGCCAGGTTTATGGTCCCCTTCTATAGAAAAGAAATTGAGGCTCAGGGAAGTTAACTAATTCAGCTCAACAGTGATGAGTTACTGGGCAAAATGCACATTTTGACTCAGGAGCACAGGCCCTGCTGAAGACATAATGTTTAGAGGCTGTTTCCACGGAGGGACCCTAGGCTGTGATCCTGAGAATACTCCCACTTATGAACACCCAATTTGTTGCCCAGCCCTGTGGAACAGAGGAGTGCCACTGTGCCAGCCTCCAGGTTGTGCCAAGCATTCTTGGCTCCTCCTCAGTAGTCAGAGAGACACAAGGACAAGCCCCAAGCCCTTGTCTTAGCTGATGGGGAGCACTGACGTTTAAATTGTCCATTTCTCCTGAGACACTGGCCAGGGGCACTGACATGTTAGAATCGAGTGTCCCCTGAAGGTGAGCTAATCCTGTCTGCTAGAACCCCACCATGCTGTCAACAAGGATGGATTAGCACCGGATTTTAAGTTCCTCAAAGACAGGGTCTGAATCTTAGTCCTTTTTGGCTCTTCCAGGCCAAGCCCTTTGCTCGATAAATGATTGCTCTGTTCAATTTCATTACATATCCAAGAATCCCAAAACCATGATCTTACAAAGAGATGACAGTCTAGCAGAGGAGACCAGACCCACCCACAAAAACCAGTTAGTGGAAGAGATGCACCGACATTATGAACTAAGTACAAAACAACATGGAGCAAGGCAAGAATTGTTCCATTCCTTCGGTAATAATGTGCTCTCTGGCACTGCAGAACACAATGAGAGAGGCGTGGGGAAGGGAGTGTCCCCCAAGAATTGGAGGGCTTCTCAGAAGGTACAGATCAGAGTGGGTTTGGGGTCACCAATCCTGTGTTGTTAATGTCAGTTTTGTTTCTAGCTCTCTAATGAAATGGATCTGCGCTGTGCTGAGATGAAACAGAACTTTGAAAACAAGAACAGGTATGCTTTTTGGCCTGAGCCTTTATGTGCTGAGGGCCCTAAGGCTCCTGCGTCCTTTGCAGGGTTTCAGTTCGCTGGGACTTCAGACAGTGCCCAGTGGAGTTGGGTGGCGAGGGGTGGGGGAGATGAGTGAGGCACGTGTCTTTGAAAAGTAGGATGGATTGATCTGAGGCCATTAAAATGAAGCACAAAGAAAGTTATTCCTGCTTTTGCACTTTATCATCCAATTATTTCAATTATAATCTTTTTTGTTGGTTGCTAAGAAGAGCCATTTTTTGTTCTCTGTGAGATTTCTGTGATAAATAACTATTGTTCTCAGCCAAGCCTCTTCTTCCTCTTCCTCCTCCTCTACCTCTTCCTCCTCTTCTTCCTCCTCCTCCTCCTCTACCTCCTCTTCTTCTTCTTTTTCCTCCTCTCACCTCTACTCTCTCTGGCTGCTAGGTCAGGGCCTGAGCAAAATAGGAAGAAGATTTGGGAGGGGCAGGAGCAAAGTCAAATCAAGGGAAAATTAAAAGGAAGTGTTCAAATATACATAGAGAATAAAACAGTGGTTACCAGAGTCAGGGTAGGGGGAAGGAAACAAGCAGATGTAGGTCAAAGGATACAAATAAACAAATATGCAAGATACAAAAAACACATCACATACAAAGGAGTGCCAATATGACTATAATTTCTTGGCAGAAACCCTGCAGGCCAGGAGAGAATGGGATGATATATTTACAGTGCTGAAGGAAAAAATAGCCAATCAAGAATATTTTATCTAGCAAAGCTGTTTTTCCAAAATGAAGGAGAAATGGAGAATTGCTTCAGGGAATTCTTTAAACTGAAACAAAAAGCTGCTAATACATATCATGAAACATATAAAAGCACAAAACTCAATGGTATAAGTAAAATGACCATATTCAGAATACCCTAGGACTGCAAGGATAGTGTGTAAGATAATTTTACACAGATATAGTAAGATAATTTTACATAGTACAAAGCTTAAAAGACAAAACTATTACTAACAACTATAACTAAAATAAATTGTCAAAAATATACATTACAAAATGATGTAAACTCTGACATCATACAATAAAATGAAGGAGAGAGTAAAAGTGTACACTTGTAGGCAATCAGATTAAGTTGTTATCGGCTTGAAATAGGCTGTTATAAGTATAAGATGGTCTGTGTAAGCCTCACGGTAACCACAAGACAAAATCTTTAGAGGCACAAAACAGAAATAGAAAGGCTTTGAAGTTTTGAAGCATAGCACTTCAGAAACCCATCAAACCGCAAAGGAAGACAGCAAAAGAGGAAGAAAAAAACAAAGTACCTACATAACTACTAGACAACAGTTAACAAAATGGCAATAAGTCCTTACCTGTAAATAATCACCTTGAATGTAAATGGATTAAACTATCTGATAAAAAGAGTGGCTGAATGGATTAAAAAAAAATTAAAAAGACTCTGCTCTACGCTGTCTACAAGAGACTCACTTACCTGTAAGGACACACATAAACCGACAGGGATGGGTGGAAAAGGATATTCCACACAAACAGAAACCAAGAGAGAGGAGGGATAACTATACTTACATTAGAAAAAATAGACTTTAGGTCAAAACTATAAAAAGAGACAAAGGAGGACATTATATAATGAAGGAGTCAATTCATCAAGAGAATATAACAATTGTAAATATATATGCATCCAATCAGAGCACTTAAATATATATAAAAACATTAGGATGTGAACAGAGAAATAGATAATAATACACTAATAGTAGGGGACTTCAATACCCCACTTTCAACAATGGACAGATCATCCAGACAGAAAATTATAAGGAAACATTAGTTTGAACAACACTTTTGACCAAATGGACCTAATAGACACATACAGAACATTCCACCCAATAGTAACAAAATGCACATTCTTCTCAACTGCACATGGAACATTCTCCAGGAGCAATCACATGTTAGGGCACAAAATATGCCTCTGAAAATTTAAGAAGACTGAAGTTATATCAAATATCTTTTCTGTGCAACAATAGTATGAAACTAGAAATCAATAATAAGAGGAATTTTGGAAAATCCACAAATATATGAAAATTAAACAACATGCTACTGAACAACCAATGGGTCAATAAATAAATTAAAAGGGAAAGTTAAAAATATCTTATATACTAGCAAACCAAATTCAACAGCACATTAAAAAGATCATTCACTATGATCAAGTGGGATTCATCCCAGGGATGCAAAGATGATTCAACATGTGCAAATCAATAAAGATAATACACCACATTAACCCAGAAAGAAAGACAAAAACCATATGATCATTTCAATAGACACAGAAAAAGCATTTGACAAAATTCAACTTCCCTTCATAATAAAAACTCTCAACAAATTAGGTATAGAAGGTATGTACCTCAACAGAATAAAGGCCGTATAGACAAACCCACAGCTAACATACCGAACAGGAAAAAGCTGAAAGCTTTTTGTCTAAGATCAGGAACAAGACAAGGATGTCCACTTTTACCACTTCGATTCACATGGTACTATAAGTCCTTGCCAGAGCAATTAAACAAGAGAAATAAATAAAAGGTATCCAAGTTAGAAAAGAAAAAGTTACATTGTCCGTGCATTGTTTGCAGACCACATGATCTTATATATAGAAAATCCTTAAGACTTCACAAAAAAACTGTTAGAACCAATAAACGAATTCAGTAAAGTTATAGGATACAAAATTGACATAGAAAAATCAGTAATGTTTCTGTACACTAATAGTTAAATATCTTAAAAAATCAAGACAACTTGCTGGCATGGGTGCAGAGGGAAAGAAACACTAATACACTGTTCGTGGGACTGCAAATTAGTACAACCTCTGGGGAAAACAGTATGGAGATTTCTCAAAGAACTAAAAGTAGATACCCGCTACTGGGTATCTATCCAAAGGAAAAGAAGTCATTTTACCAAAAAGACACCTGCACGCTAATGCTTATTGCAGCACAATTCACAATTGCAAAGATCTGGAATCAACCCAAGTACCCATAATCCATGAGTGGATTAAGAAAATGTAGTATAGGTATACCATGGAGTACTACTCAGCCATAAAAAGGATGAATTAATGCCTTTTGCAGTAATTTGGAAGGAATTGGAGACCATTATCCCAAGCGAAGTATCTTAAGAATGGAAAAACAAACACCGCCTGTACTCTCTAATAAATTGGAACTAACCAATACACACACAAGAGCACAGAGGGAAGTAAAAGTCATCGGAAATCAAACAGGGGGAAGGTGGGAGGAGGGGAGGGGCGAAAACCTACCTAACAGGTACAGTGAACAGTATTTGGGTGATGGGCACATTTATAGCCCTGACTCAAGCCATGCAACAAAAACATTTGTACGCCCTTAATATTTTTTTTAAAAAAAGGATGAAATGCTGATACATACTATGATGTAGATGAACCTCCAAAGCATTGTGCTAAGTTAAAGAAGCCAGATACAAATGGCCACACATTGTATAAATCCATTTACATACAATGTCCAAAATAGGCAAATCGATAGAAAAAGGAAGTAGATTGGCATTTGTTAGGGATTGGGAGTAGGGAGAAGTAGTGAGTGACTGCTAATGGGTATGAGGTGTCTTTTGAGGGTGATGTTCTAGAATTAGTGGTGATAGTTGTACAACATTGTAAACATACTGAAAACTACCGAATTGTATACTTTAAAATGACAAATTTTATGTTGTGTGAATTAAATCTTGGTAAAACAATGTAAAAAGGAAAAGGTTTGAGAAGGTATAAATATGACATTAAGTTTTATTTTGTGATCCTAAAACAAAATCAAGACAGTTCCATGAACAATACATAATAAATAAATGAATTAATTAATGTATAAATAAATAAAACACCTAGGAATGAGCTTAACCAAGGAGGTGAAAGAATTAGAATAATTAATATTGTTAAAAAGGCCATTCTACCCAAAGTGATCTACAGATTTAATGCAATCTCTCTCTAAATACCAATTTAAATCATGCAAACTTCTCCCCCAGCCTCCCCACCGAGATAGCCTTGCAGCATTATTTCTGTTTGCCCATAGCCATCTCAAAATGTCAAAGAAATGTATTTTGGGGTAAAATGCTTATTTTCTTCAGCCCTAAAAAAACCCAAAATGGATAGCCTCTGTAAAATGAGTGCACATCAATTACAGCCTTAGAACCGTAGCCTAAATAAATTCTTAAATGTCGATTACAAGTTTATCTCCGCAAGTGCAAACCAAGGAAGAAATATCACTCTTCTACTCACCCTGAGAAGGTCACAACATTGACTATCTCCTCTATCCTCTTTTTTGAATGTTCATCTTATCTTATGTGGATTTACTAGGCACCAAATAGAATTTCACAAGAATACCATCAATTACCTCACTGCTCACTTCCTTTGCCCCTTCCCTTTTTCTGTGTACCCTTTTTTTCCTTTAAATGCAAAGTTCCTGAACCCTTCTACAGAGAGCCCAGTCCATGACAGATACTTTATGGGCTGTGTTTTCCCTGGGTGCGTCCTTGAAATCTTGGCTTAATAAACCTTAATTGAGTATGATTCTCATTTTCTGTCACATATTATTTAATCTAGCAATACTAAAACCAGACAAGAGCAATACAAGCCAATACCCTTGATAAACACAGATGCAAAAATCCTCAAAAAAATACTAGCAAACCAAATTCAACAACACATTAAATGGATCATTTGCCATGGTCAAGTAGGTTTTATCCCAATACAAGTGTCAATGGAAAAGAGCCCAAACTCTGTAAAATAATTTAAAGAGGTTTATTCTGAGCCAAATATGTGTGACCATGGCACAGAGAACTATGCCCAAGAAGCCTTGAACACGTGGTCTCACCATTTGGGTTACAGTTTGGTTTTATACATTTTACGGAGTCAGGAATTACACATAAAGTCATAAATCAATACATGGAAGACATACCTTGGTTTGGCCCAAAAAATCAGGACATCTCAAAGGGGGGGATTTGAGATATAGGTGGGTTTGAAGATTCTTTGATTTATAATTGGTTAAAGAAATGAAGCTTTGTCTAAAAGTTTTGAGTGTTTTAAGTTAAGGAAGTCTGTTAATCAGAGACAATCCACCGCACATATACTGAGATTCAAGTGATCTGTTAGGTAAATTGATGACCTGTGGGAGTGGTTTAACCTTTGCCTTAACATGGCCTTAGGCTTGTTAATGATTTTGTATCTTACTGTTACAAAGAATAACTCCAAAAAGGACAGGGTGTATCTGACCTCCCTTCTCCTCATGGTCGACAACTCAGCTTTCAGGGTTTTTTGGTGGGGTCCCCTCGGCCAAGAGAGGGTCCATTCAGTTGGCTGGGAGGCTTAAGATTTTACTTTAGTTCATACAAGGATGGTTCAACATATACAAATCAATAAATATGACACATCATGTTAAGAGAATGAAGAACAAAAACCATATGATCATCTCGTTAGATGCAGACAAAGCATTTGATAAAATTAAACATTCTTTCATGATAAAAACTCTCACCAAATTACATGTAGAAGGAATGTACCCTAACACAATAAAGGCCATATATGACAAACCCACAGCTAACATTATACTCAATGGGAAAAATTGAAAGCCTTTCCTCTAAGATCTAGAACAAGACAGGAATGCCCTCTCTCACCACTTCTATTCAACATATTAATAGTATTGGAAGTCCTTGCCAGAGC